ATAATGGTGGAAATCCGAAAATGAATCCACTTCAGCTACAGTCTATTGTAAGCTTTATATCGAAAATCAGAACGAACTTTCCGGACAACCTATAATGTTAATACAAAGTGTCAAATGAATGTAACAGAAGTAGTTTATTCCAAATTGTATCACAAGTATATAGAGATAGAGTTCAATTTTGTCAAATGTACCGATATTTTTGCGCACCTTGACTGCTTCGTTACTTATGACGCTGTGGCTGCTACGATATTTATGAGCATCTTGCATGTACTCATATATTTGACGCTGTGTATGTACCGATGTATTTGAGCAGGGTGAATGTATCTATTATTTTGAGGACTTTTGTTGTACCGATATATTTGATTACTTTTGCTGTACCTATATATTTGCATATCTTGTCTGTGACGATCTATATGACGCTGACTGTACTTTGTGTGTAAATTATAAAATTCAATTAAAAATTATATAATATGGGTAGTAACAAAGTGCTGTGAGAAAAAGTAAGCTTTCGTAAATATTTATAAAAGGTGAAGTATGATCTCTATAATTTGAAATGTCTCTTTTATTTTCTTCATATAAATATATATTTTTTTTAATTTTCATAAATGAGCATATTATATTCTGCCACCCCGAAAACCGCAAACCTGGCACGTGTTACTAGTAAATATTCAAAATTAGCTTCTTGACTAAATTTTTCACAGTTGTTTGAAAGAGTTATGCTTAGTATTTACGGTACTGACGAGGGCGTTTAAGATTCAAGGGCGCTAATTATTATTAGTAAGATGTTTAACGTAATATTTGTATTGTCTTGGTAAAGAAGTTTTTGAAACTCATTTGCACAGTTGTTAGAGATAATTAGCTATGAATTACATACACCTGAACATACAATTCGGGTCATTTGCAATTGTTAAAAATATATAATACATTTTTCCATCGGATAATTTACATAAAGTGATGAAGGTCACAGAGACGTTATTGCTTTAGCCTCAAGTAAATAAAAAGAGGGCACGTTGATAAATTGAAAATAACGTGCATTTTCACAAGCAAAACGCCTTTACTCTTACATATCGTTATCTCTATTTTTTTCGAAGGAAATGAAAAGGACAACAATATGTTTTCTTTAGTTGCTTCGGTAGTGGAACCCACGGTAATATAAATTCTTTATGGGCTAGAGACTATGCTTCAAATATTATTGTCACTAGTAGACGGCCTAGAGCCTAAACGACTGAATCGTTTACAGGAGTGAGGTGTCGTTTGAATCGTCTTCTTCCCCGGAGTGTCATAGTCCTAGAGCATTAATTACATCGCGTAAAACACGTGTCGTAGATGTAGAAAATAAAATTCTAAATTAGTGGAAAACGATTTCGAATATAACTCATCTTCAATTTTTTAACGTAATTTTTATTATACCTGAAATAAGAAAATGTTACGTGTATTATTAGAATTTAGTTAAATTAAAAAATAAAAAATTCTAAAATCTTGTTTAAGAAGCAGCCAACAGATGGCGCTAACTCATTAATTGAATCACAGACGGGTATTTTAAAGGTTAGATTCTTGTCTACTTTTGAGTTAATAATGTATGTAATAAAGGAATTGCTATCATAGTATATAATAACATAAAGTATAAGAAGAGTTTCAGTGCTATAGGGCACCGGTAAATGTAATATCATTATCAATTATCGATAATCATCCAAATGTTGTCGCCTAAATGTGATGCAGAGAGAGACAACAGAGTTATATATATATATTTTAATATTAGTAGATTTTTAAATTTACTAATATTTCTTGTACCATTCCAACTAAGCTTTATGCTTGTGCTAGGATATGGTCTACGACTAGTCGAATAGCGGGATTCGAACTCCCGACCTCGTGATCGGAAATTAGTGCCCTTAACCATTAGGCTATTAACGCATTAATTGTATTGATAACTCTTATTTGCTTTGGAGTACCTATTTTTGTTACATATTAATGATACCATGTGATAAATCGTACACTAAGTTTCATGCTCGAAAAACAATATTCAATATACGCCAACGAGAAGCATAATATTTTTAAACGTAACCGTGAAGAACAATCGAAATGTAATTTTACACACATAACTTATTGACAAGGGGTTTCATAATCACGAAGCGGAACAAACACTGACGTGTGTGTAAATACTTTACAAGGCGAATTATTTTTCAGTATGGGTCGGACCGCAGTGGTGACAGGAGAAGGGCAGGGTGGGGCCAAGCATCCTGCCGCGGCTAACTGGAGCCCAGCCATTCGCCTCAAATACCTTTTCCTCACCGCCACCGTCTTCGGAGGGAGCTATGTCATCATATCCCTCACTACGTACACTAACACAGTATTTGTCAACAACGAGGCTCAATTTGGCTTCTCGCGGGACTTGCATCATCAAAAAGAACCAAGTGAGAGATACACGATAAAAACGAAAGGCTGCAGTATACCAGGCTTGGACCCCTATGATGAACATATCAAAGAATTTGTAAAATTCCCCCGGAAAATGAAATCATGTCCTAACGTCAATAAAACTTTGTTAAATAATAACAAGACGCACATTTGGGTGTTGGAAGAAAATAAGCCACATTACAATATTACTGAAGATCAAGATTTCTCTTGTTGCTACGAGGCATTTCATCGGCCTTCGACCGTACAAGATATCGACGGTATAGAAATAGACGATCGTATCCAGTATCAAGATTGTGTTCATTTTGACGATTTCATAAAAGTGACTGATGAATTCGTGCGAGTTTTGTGTTATTCTGATGGACTGGAAACCTATCAACAATTTTTTTTATTTGCACCACACAAAGAATTTAAGTCACACGGGACCAATGAAATAACGGGTGACAAGCGAGCCTACAATGTTATAATTATGGGCATAGATGCCGTTTCGAGGATGAACTTTCATAGAACGATGCCTAAAACTTTACAGTTTTTGAAAAATAAAGGATCTGTTGAATTGGTTGGATATAACAAAGTTGGCGATAACACCTTTCCGAATCTAATACCGCTGCTTCTTGGAATAAAAGAAAATGAATTAAAAACAACGTGTCTGCCTTATGATCAACTGACATTTGACAACTGCCCTTTTGTTTGGGAGTGGTTCAAGCAGGCAGGATACTACACGGCGCTCGGCGAGGACTCCTCCCTGCTGGGAAGCTTTAACTACTTGAAGGTCGGATTCAGCAAAACACCCACGGATTATTATCTACATACCTTCATAAATGAAGCCGAAACAAAATCTGGAAAAGTCAAAGATTTTAATTCGTACCTTTGCATGGATGAAAAGTATTTTTTCCAAGTTTTGTTAGACTACATAGAGGATTTGACGATAACTCTTAGATCTTCGAAATTATTTGGATTTTTCTGGGAAATAACTATGAGCCACGATTACCTTAATTATCCAATGATAATGGACTCTAGTTATGAATTATTTTTTAAGAAACTGGAAAGATCAAACTATTTAGATGATACAATTATTGTACTTTTAAGTGATCACGGTATGAGATGGGGCGATATCAGGTCGACAAAGCAAGGACGATTAGAGGAAAGATTACCATTTGTGAATATTTTGTTGCCGCCATCATTTAAAGAAACATACGTTTCGGCGTATAACAACTTGCGAATAAATAGTCGGCGGCTGACCACACCGTTTGACTTACACGAAACATTAAACGATCTCGTAAATTTAAAATACATTGAAGATGAAAATATAAGATTTCGAAGTAACGAATTCTACGCTTTTAAGAGAGGTATTAGTTTATTTTTACCGATACCGGATAATAGAACCTGTGAAATGGCAAGTATCGACGATCACTGGTGTACATGTCATAAGGGTAAAAAGTTATCCAAGGATAGTAGCGAAGCAATCGAAGCAGCAGCTCATTTGGTGCGTCAATTGAATTCTCTGCTAAGTGATCATGTTCAATGTGCTAAACTAGTTCTTTCACAGTTAATCGATGTTACGGAAATGGAAGTAGGAACACCAAGTGTTGATGAAGTAGGTTGGCGCGAATTTATGGTGACAGTTCAGACGACGCCCGGTAATGGAATATTTGAGGCGACACTCCGTCAAAGTAAAGTCGAATGGACACTCGCCGGTACGATCAGCAGACTTAATCTTTACGGTGACCAAAGCATATGCATACACAATTATCAACTCAAATTATATTGCTATTGTCAATAATGTGACGATATAAGAATAACTTTGTACGCGTACATATTTTGTTGAACGTATGAAATCGAATACGTGCAGGAAGTGAAACATTTCCGAAAACTGAGTTTTGAAGACTACTCTAAATGTGGAAAGGATACGGTTTTGAATTTTAAGTATGTGGCTATTTGTATATGTATACCTTATGCTAAACAGCATTGTTACTTGTTTTAAATGGTTTATAAAACATATTTGTTTATTTTCCTTTTTTGATCCCTAAATCGAAGATTTTTGTTGTTATTAAGTAAATATTGTAAGCAGGGCAATTTATGCTAGTGTATTCAGTAATTAGAAATATTTGCAGCTACCGCTCTTATTTACACTCATGTTAATGCTGTTATGGAGGAGGTTTTGTTATACTGAATGTATGACAAAATAGTAGTGGCAAAATGAGCCCTGCAGAGAAACAGGGACTACTCACTAACTTCTATAAATTAAAATATTATTGCTATTCATATAATTTAAATATAAAGAAGCCAATGGAATTACTTCATCTTTTCCGAAGCATTTTATTGTTAATGCAATATTTTTAGGTTCTTCAAAATTATTTTACGTCTTAAGTAAGTAAAACCAAACTTTTGATCGCAGTATATCTATCAAGGTATTTTTCAAAATCTTCAAAATAAATAAAAAATGTTTAAATGATTTTTTAAAACAAAATTTTAATTTGTGGTTTAATACATTTTTCCTAATAGCAACACCCTGATGAATTCAAGATGTCACTGTCAATTATCAATGTCATTTTTAACCAATACAAAAATAGTGGTGTTAGCGGTACAGTATTTCTAAAAATGCGTAAGAGTTAAACAACCAATATATATTTTATCATAATGGCTCTTACTTTTAGAATTTTGTACAGAAACAGTCGATATATTAACGACACAATTATACCTGCGAGATGGTGTTACAAAACGTCGAATCCTGTTCGAATCTTGGCTAGCGGTATTTGTTATCAAAAAAACACTGTTGTGGTCAAATCATTAAATAGAATTAATGAGATTAATTCAAAAGCACCATTACGGTCATGTACCACACAGAACTATGATGCGAAACCGCCCACAGAGCCAAAAAAAGGACTGGTTCAAAGGTTTAAGGAAATGTATAGAGACTATTGGTATGTAGTTTTACCTGTGCACATGACTACATCAGCCATATGGTTTGGAAGTTTCTACTACGCCGTACGAAGGTAAGATGTCATAATGCAATGATTCAGATGTCATTTTAAATTAATTTGGTTCAGAGTGATGAAATCTTGGTGAAACCAAAGCAATTAAGATCTCCCTTATATTATATTTTCCCTTGCAAATCTTAGTTGATAGATCTATTTAAACTATATATGCAAATAAATTTATTTCTTTGATATTAATTATGGTCTTATGTATATATTATATGTGTATTAATTTTGTGTATATGTATATGATTATTGATATAAAACTATTTATTAAGTTTACTTGATGGTAAAAATATTAGTAAAAATGAATTGAGTATAATAATTCAATTCAAATTAAATAATTGATTATGTCATTATTATTATTCATTGAGCATGTAAAAAGACATTAGCATTATGTTAGGTGTAAACGACCTTTCTTTTAATGAGATAAATAATAAAATTTATTTTATCTAATTTATATTTTTACTTGTAGTTGACAATAATCTATTATTTGAGATTGAGTTATTTCAAGATACTTTTTTATGATTGCTGGTTTTAACTCCACCAGTGCCTTAAGCAAGATCTCTATGGAGCCCCCTTTTTTACCATGCCTACGGGGGTGGGGGGTAAAACAGAAATTATGTTAGACTGTATAATTTGTAGATCTGTGGCAGCATTTTCAGCTTGTTCCATAGCTTAATGCCAGTACTGTTTATCAATATCAATAGACTTGACACACTTACTGTGGATTTTGACTGCTTGATGCCTCCATTTTGTCAAAGAGAATATGAGAGAAGGTAGACTACAGGTTATATATATTTGTTTATATTTTATGTTGTTTTTGTTACAGTGGTGTTGATGTGATTGGTTTACTGGAAAATTTAAATATCAGTGAAAAATTATTATCACCATTAAAGGAGTCAAGTGCGGGTTATTTCGCTCTTGCATTTGCACTTTATAAACTGATCACACCACTGCGATATGCAGTTACAGTTGGTGAGTTTTATTTAATGAAAAGAGTCATTTTATTTCTTTGATTCATTTAAGGATGGGACTTGTCATGCTTGTAAATCCCTTCTTTCATATGAAATAGAATAAAAGCTTTAAAATTGTTTGTTTTTTGGGTGTAAATTTTTGATTCTCATCACATTTGTGATGGAAAGATGCCTTCAACTTACCCTCGCCCTGAGAAGTGTTGGAATTAAATTACGGTGACTTTATGCCTAGTCTGTTTCTCTACAAAGTTTTATTGTTGTTCTGTATGTAGGTGGGACTACTTATGCCATTAAAAAGTTACAAACACTTGGCTGGATTAGACCAGTGCCTTCAAGAGAACGAATCAAAGAAATGATTCAGGAAAAAAAAGAAAACCTCCAAGGTCGCATACATGAAAGTAAACAACATTATCAGAGTCAAATGAGAGAGAAGGGTTCTCAGGTTATGGAAGAAATGAAAAGGTACAAAACTGAAATGCACAACATTAAGAACAAAGTTAAGAAGATGTAAATTGAAAAATGTCTTTTTATACTTTTCCTTTTTTTTTTAGCAAGTTTAGGCCAAAAGAATAATTTGCAGTCAACTACTTAAGTAGTAAGGGATGAAGGAATTATAATCATAAAAACTCTGTTATAATTTTGAATAGTTTATTGTTTCATAATATAAATATAAAAGTAATGCTTAATAAATTGTTTTTATTACTTCATGACATCATTGATGAAAAACAGTCACATTTCTATACCAAAATGTACACATATAAAACAATGATAACTATATTAAGTACCTACAGACAGCACGAAACTGGAATGTTTACTGATAAAAATGAGCCTTTCATTCAATTATTGTAACAATTAACTGCCACCAGGTGTGCTGCCATTTCTACATTAAATTAGTAAATGCATTTAGATAAACAATTACACCCCTAACACCAACAAATTTTCATACAACTTTTCTTTAATTCCATATATTTGTATAAAGAATTTTCAAGCAAACCCTTACACCCAATTTACAATTTGCATTAAATCCCAAACTGTTATAAGCAACAGTTATTTCACCTTATCCATTTAACTGAAATATAAAGCAAAAAATATCATCTAACATTATCACAAAGCATCATAGGCAACCATAACAATTATTGTAGTCAAATCACATGTCTAATACTAACTACATTGTCTATTCAAATATCTTATTAATTACTACTTATTTGTGAAATATTGTTTACAATTGTAATTGCAAGCAAACATAAAAATAGTTGACAGTCAAAAATTAAATCGTAATATTTTAATTTCATTATTAATTACTTAACAAGGCTGTTTGTGACTTATTCAATGGTACTTATTTTGTTTTGTTATACAAATTATTTTAATTATAATAAATTGCCAGTTAAAAAGCGAATTAATAATAAATTACATTGTTTTGCTTTTAAAATAAAACCTAAATTAAAGCCGCTTTCATTTTTCTTAAAATTATTTGTTCATCTAAAATACCAATGTCGATTTATTGAGCAAATCATGCACAATAGATACATCTTGCATGAATATGGGATAATATTTGCTATTCCATAATAAGACAAAAGCTTCATAAATGAATACTGCACATTATTTTTACACTAATTTTCCTCAATATATTATACCATAGTATAATGATCGTCGTCATGGAACTATACACCACTATTATTTAATTAACAAAATGACATATTACTTGTAATTTATTTGTAAAAAGTATTGTGTCCACGATTTTACAGAATTAAAAAAAATTATAACCTCTATGTTACCTAATTTTTTTCTGGAAATTAAACAAAGGAGATGTATTTATGTATGATAATTGCTAACAAAGTTAATGTCTTTATTTGTAACAGCATATAATTTCCAAAGATAACCAATCTTAACCCATGTATTTATATGAGGCGGGAGACAAGTGCGGCGCAGGGGGCATCCCAGGGCCCGTGGCTGCGCCGATGGTCGCCAAGTGACAGGCGCGACACATCAACTTTCCTGCAGATAAATATTTACTATTTAATGTTCATAACCCTCATCAAAATGGCAAACTTGAGACTATTTTGTACTTTTGAATGTACTAAATTATAAAATTCAGCATCTTACCTGCTAGTGGATAACAGCGTTTATCTGGTTCATCGGTGAGCTGCATACCGCACACACAGCACATATAGCAGTCTACATGGAAGTCCCGGTCCATTGACACTACTCGCACTGTCTCATCTGTGCCTTCCACTGGAGTGATACCTGTGTTACATATACATACATATTACAGCAGAGTTTTTTGAGTTAATCTTATAATGAAAATCTTTATTGTCTTCTTCTCAAGCGATTTAACCTCAATCAATAAAAAGTCCATAATGCACGAGCCATTCTTTGCACTATAACTTGTGAAACATAAAGACAGACATTATACCATGGGCGTAACATATATATAAATAGGGGGGGGATTTCCTTTCCTCCCCAGGTAAGCCCATGCATTAATATACCTACATGTGCTCCAAGGTTACCCCTTTAAAGATATATTATTCAGTTATACTTGTAAGTGATATAAATTTACATAAATCATATCAATTGCATTTAATCTTATCATAAAGGATTGCATGTTAGTTATGTTATGATAAGCTAGTCATTGAAATATTTTACTTATTTATACAAATAATTCCAATCAAAGATTGTCCCATAAAATTGTGGCAGCTAGAGAACCATCAACATGCTGAACTTAATATGAATTACTAAACAAAAATTACAGTTAATTCAATTTCATGTTATATTTTTTTACTTTTACTTCTAGCTGTCACCAGCAACTTCAACCGCGCGGATTTAAAAAGATAAATAAGCCTATGTGTTCTTCCAGACTACTTTGTTCATCTGTGCCATATTTCATCAAGATCCATTGAGGCAATCCAGAGATACCTTCAAACAAACATCCATCCAGGCATTCACATTTATAATATTAGTAAGATATAGAGATGATATCTTAAGTGACCAATATAAAATTAATTATAAAATCCATACCTTTGCCACAGCTCGCACATTTTGGTGCAAACATGCGATGATAGTCATTCACACAATAGATTTTATTGTCCACATCCACTGTGAATGGTACTCCATCCAAACATTCATTACATATACAGCAACGGAAGCAGCCAGGGTGGTAAGACTTACCCATGGCTTGTAATATCTGCAATATAATAAATATTTACTTAGTATGTTGCATTTAGACAGTTATTAACTGTACTGACAAATATCTTACCATTTCCATTATTAAATGACCACAGATTGCACACTTTTCAGCAGTTTGTTGGAAGCCTGAGTACTGTAAAGAGAAAAATTAAATTGTAAACAACTTCCTATAAATTAAAATTATTCCCGATAACTAGTACCACATACCAAGTAATCTTCCTCACAATAAACTTTCCCATGGACATTGTAAAAAGCTTTGCCACGCAATGCACGGCCACAGGAGCAGCAAATGAAACAGTTGGTGTGGTACAAGTTGCCCATCGCCTGACATGCTTGTCCTGCTCCTGTCACACCACCTCGGCATGTGTGACAAATACCTGGAATACAATATTAAAACCTTAAGTATGAAATGCAATTGAAATGATATAAACAAAGACACAAAAATTGTTGATATAACATACCAAAATACTCCCCATCTTCATCTTGTCTTTCCATTTCTTCTTCAAGCTGTCTAGTAAGCTCTTCAATTTTCCGCTGGGCTTCACTGGGGCCAGGAGGCCGAGGTGGAGTAATACTATAAGGCAGAAGACTTTTTCCTCTTCCACCAGAACCTCTTGAACCGGCTGACACCTGGGAAACTGAACTTGGAGTGGGGCTAGGAGCTGGAGATTGTGCTGGAGAACAAAGTGATGTCAGCCCAGATACCAAATTTCTTGATCCAATTGACTCAGATGCAAGTGAAACATTATCCCTTGTGGCAGCAGCCACAGCCGCCGCTGAGGATCCACCAGTCATACATACATAATCTGAGCCGTTGGTATCATCAACAATTTGCATCCTACTGTTAAGAGGAGCCTTTATATATCCTTCATTAACTGGGGCTAAAACAGGAGGTTTGTCTTTTCCCAGTCCATTCCCAATGTTAGGCTTAGGATGAAAGAATTTTGGGGCAGGTGTCAATGTTTGTACTTCTGTGGCAATGTTTGCTTTGGGTCTTTGTGCACTAGGAGCAATTGAGGCATATATAGCTGTGGATGGTATGGTAACCACTTTGTCATCAAAACTCACTGTATTATCAGTTTTCAAAAGGGCACTGACATCTGTGTATTTTGGTGGTGCAGACTTCATTATAGTGTAATCTCCACTGTGGTTGTTTTGAGCTTTGTTATAAGGAGGGGGAGGAGGGGCTTTTTCAATTTTTGTCTTGTCATTAGTCATATGTAACATAGATCTGTTTACATTATTATTAGGTACTTGGGGTCCAGGAATGGAACCCTGTTGAACAAATTGTTGGTCTTGAGTTGATTGTGCCTTGTATTCAGTTTTTTTATCATTGTCTGAACAAAGCATGTTTTCATAAACAATTGGGTTTAACTTAGACTTTGAGCTCACTGGCACCTGTGGTTGAGCTTTACTGTACCTAGTGTCATAATATCCATCCGAAACAGGGGGTGGAGGACCTTGTTGGTATATCTGATGATAATAAGGTGGCTGTGGTGACCGCTGTTCGCCGTAATAATCTATATTTTCATAAACTGGCGGAGGATATTGCGGGTTGGTATTTCCCGGTATTTCATACAAATCATCAGTTTGATAACTCAAAGACCTCTGAGAAACACTATCAACCGATCGGGTTGGGCTTACGGGTAGAGCCGTTGTATTAATATCACATTTACTTAATGAAGCTATTGTTTCAACACGTTTTGGTGTTGCGAACTTTGAGGCCGCTATAACATTGGAACGTTCATAAAAACTATAATCCTCACGATTTGTTGGGGCGCTGTCCAAAGTAAAACTCTCAATCGCTCCTACAGGCCTGGCTTTACCAACAGCACTTATATTGGCAGGGGCACAATGCGCTTGCTCAGTATCGTTCTCAGTTTTGTTAGATATTTTTAAATCTTGCAATCCAAGAATACATCGTTGTTCTTCAGCGTTGCTTCTTCGTGAAGAATCCATAATAAAAAAAAACCGCTTAATCTAATCACAAATGAATTATTTATAATCACTAAAAGAAACAAAAGTGAATCATGATTGTGTTCTAATGAGAGGTTCAACAAAACAACAACCAAACAGAACAAACCAAAAAAAAATAATGACGTACTTGATAAACTTTAACCACCATACAATACGTATTGTATGATTGTGTATGGTGAGTGGTAGGTGGTAATACAAAATACAAATACAATAACCCACACGAGAAAAAGAGAGAGAGGTCAAAATTAAAAAAGCAGTTAATTGGAAAAAGCTTTAATAGCTACAGCTATAGTAAACTTCGTTTTTAACCGATTTTTTGCAGCTACTTTGTACTCTTTGATAGATTGTCGACACTCTTGTGCTCTATGTCATTCGCCATTTTGTCATATTGCGTGTGGCACCTGGCACAACATAACGTTGTTAAATTAACAAAATTAGTTTGTTAATTGCATACTTTAACAATATAAATTACGCAGTAATTCTCCTAAATCTAAAATAATGTACGACACCGAAGATGACCAATTCGAGGAGGAAGATAACGAGGAAATTTCATCGGAACTGTGGCAAGAAGCTTGTTGGATTGTTATCAACGCTTATTTTGATGAAAAAGGCTTAGTACGCCAACAATTGGATAGTTTCGATGAATTTATACAGATGTCAGTACAACGTATCGTAGAAGATTCTCCCCCTATTGAATTACAAGCAGAAGCGCAACACTCGTCCGGTGAAATAGAAACGCCTCCGAAGTATTTGTTGAAATTTGATCAGATTTATTTATCAAAACCTACCCATTGGGAAAAAGATGGAGCACCATCTCCTATGATGCCCAATGAGGCCCGCCTTCGTAACTTAACCTATTCTGCACCGTTGTATGTTGACATTACTAAAACTATTGTAAAAGAAAATGAAGAACCTATTGAAACACAGCATCAAAAAACATTTATTGGAAAAATTCCTATAATGTTAAGATCTACTTATTGTCTACTAAGCAATTTAACTGACAGGGATTTGACCGAGTTAAATGAATGCCCACTCGATCCCGGTGGTTATTTTATTATTAATGGATCTGAAAAGGTTTTGATTGCTCAGGAAAAGATGGCTACAAACACTGTGTACGTGTTCAGCATGAAGGATGGAAAGTATGCTTATAAAACTGAAATTCGGTCATGTCTTGAACACAGTTCGCGACCAACATCCACCTTATGGGTCAACATGATGGCTAGGGGTGGTCAAAGCATCAAGAAGTCTGCAATTGGTCAAAGAATTATTGCCATTGTACCATACATTAAGCAGGAAATTCCTATTATGATTGTGTTTAGAGCTCTTGGATTTGTAGCTGACAGAGACATATTAGAGCATATTATATATGATTTTGATGACCCAGAAATGATGGAGATGGTAAAACCATCTCTGGATGAGGCGTTTGTAATTCAAGAACAAAATGTGGCTCTCAACTTCATCGGTGCACGTGGTGCACGACCGGGAGTGACAAAGGAAAGGCGCATAAAGTATGCCCGTGAAATTTTGCAAAAAGAAATGTTACCCCATGTTGGTGTCTCTGATTTTTGTGAAACAAAAAAAGCTTACTTCCTCGGATACATGGTACACAGATTACTCCTGGCTGCTCTAGGTCGCCGTGAATTAGATGACAGAGATCATTATGGAAATAAAAGATTGGATCTTGCTGGACCTCTGCTAGCTTTTCTATTTAGAGGATTGTTTAAGAACCTATTGAAAGAAGTAAGAATGTATGCTCAAAAATTCATTGATAGAGGAAAAGATTTCAATCTTGAGTTAGCTATAAAGACAAAGATCATTACTGATGGCTTACGCTACTCGCTGGCTACTGGCAATTGGGGAGATCAAAAGAAAGCTCATCAAGCAAGAGCAGGTGTATCCCAAGTATTAAACAGGCTAACTTTTGCTTCTACCTTGTCCCATTTGAGACGTGTAAATTCACCTATAGGTAGAGATGGTAAATTGGCCAAACCCCGTCAATTACACAACACATTGTGGGGTATGATTTGTCCTGCTGAAACTCCAGAAGGTGCAGCTGTAGGCTTAGTGAAAAACTTGGCTTTAATGGCATATATTTCAGTTGGAAGTCAACCATCTCCAATTTTAGAGTTCTTGGAGGAGTGGTCAATGGAAAATCTAGAAGAAATTGCCCCGTCAGCTATTGCAGATGCAACAAAAATATTTGTGAATGGATGTTGGGTTGGTATTCATAGAGATCCTGAGCAACTTATGGCTACATTAAGAAAACTTAGACGCCAGATGGATATTATTGTTTCTGAAGTCAGTATGATCCGTGATATAAGAGATCGTGAAATAAGAATTTATACTGATGCAGGAAGAATTTGCAGGCCCTTACTGATAGTTGAAAATGGAGCTTTACTGTTAAAGAAGAAACATATTGATCATCTTAAAGAAAGAGATTATAACAATTATGGTTGGCAAAATTTAGTTGCTAGTGGTGTAGTGGAATATATTGATACATTAGAAGAAGAAACCGTAATGATTGCCATGAGCCCTGATGATTTAGCACAAGTTAAAGAGTATGCTTACTGTTCAACATACACACATTGTGAAATTCATCCAGCTATGATTTTAGGTGTTTGTGCATCTATAATTCCTTTCCCAGATCACAATCAAAGCCCAAGAAATACATATCAAAGTGCTATGGGTAAACAAGCCATGGGTGTTTATATTACTAATTTCCATGTCAGGATGGATACGCTGGCTCATGTTCTGTACTATCCACATAAACCTTTGGTAACCACACGGTCCATGGAATACTTACGTTTCCGAGAATTGCCAGCAGGTATTAATTCAATTGTTGCCATCTTATGTTACACAGGATACAACCAGGAGGACAGTGTTATTTTAAATGCATCTGCTGTTGAAAGAGGATTTTTTAGATCTGTATTTTACCGGTCATATAAAGATTCAGAATCAAAAAGGCTAGGTGATCAAGAGGAACAATTTGAAAAACCTACAAGACAAACATGTCAAGGAATGCGAAATGCCTTATATGATAAATTAGATGAGGATGGTATTATTGCGCCAGGAATTCGAGTTTCAGGCGATGATGTTGTGATTGGAAAAACGATCACGCTCCCTGAAAATGACGATGAGCTCGAAGGGACAACAAGACGGTATACGAAACGTGATGCTTCGACATTTTTGCGAAACAGTGAAACTGGAATTGTTGATCAAGTTATGCTGACACTGAACAGTGAAGGTTATAAATTTTGTAAGATACGCGTTCGATCAGTACGCATTCCTCAAATCGGTGATAAGTTCGCTTCACGTCACGGTCAAAAGGGAACCTGCGGAATCCAATACAGACAAGAAGATATGCCATTTACTTGTGAAGGCCTTACACCGGACATTATTATTAACCCACACGCTATTCCATCTCGTATGACAATTGGTCACTTGATTGAATGCATTCAAGGTAAAGTTTCATCCAATAAAGGTGAAATTGGTGATGCAACACCCTTTAATGATGCTGTTAATGTGCAAAAAATATCGTCGCTATTACAAGAATATGGTTACCACCTACGTGGCAATGAAGTTATGTACAATGGTCACACTGGTCGCAAAATAAATGCTCAAGTATTCTTAGGGCCAACATATTACCAGCGTCTTAAGCACATGGTAGATGACAAAATTCACTCCCGAGCTCGAGGACCTGTGCAAATTTTAGTAAGACAGCCTATGGAGGGCAGAGCTCGCGATGGCGGTTTACGTTTTGGAGAAATGGAGCGCGATTGTCAAATCGCGCACGGCGCCGCTCAGTTTCTCAGAGAGCGGTTGTTTGAAGTGTCTGATCCTTATCGTATACACGTTTGCAACTTCTGTGGGTTGATAGCCATTGCAAACTTAAGGAATAATACATTTGAATGCAAAGGCTGTAAGAATAAAACTCAAATATCCCAAGTGAGGTTGCCATATGCTGCCAAGTTGCTTTTCCAAGAGCTGATGTCAATGAACATTGCACCAAGATTGATGGTAGTAAACTAGGTTATAAGACTACATGTTCAATGCTTATGATATACAAATGCAATAAAAAACTTTAAATTTTTTATCATGATTTTTATTATCACAAACTGACATTAAATGCAGCTTAATACAACAAATACAATACAAAATCCTACAATATACTTCATACTTAATTAATTTATATCTATATAAACTGCAGATATTGAATGCCTCATTTGTCAAATCAATTGATTACTTCATTCACATCATTTTTAATTTACAGTATAATTGTAACATGTTATAAATGCTAATAATTGTTATGAAAACCTTTGGAAGTTTGGTGTTTTTTTTAAAGTTACAACTTTAATGTTTTTTAAAAATTCATATTTCAATATTTACTTTGAGTGAATGTGTGTATGGCAAGAGGCATTCATAATTCTGCATAAAATTGAGGTAAATAGATTTAAAAAGCAGAACAACAGTTACAATAAATAGGACATTTATATGATAACGTGAATAAAATATATTTAAAATTTAATATAATCTGGAAATAAAATTGCACCTTATGGTAATCAAACTTTATGAAAAAATAACGATTACCTTAAAACTATGAAATCTCCGCTTGGTATAAGGCGAAAGTTTCTTACTTGCATAAACAAGCATTCATCAAAATATACTATTATCTTAAAATAGATAATTTAATATGTACTTCATTGATTTACATACTTTAACGAGGCTTTTATAAATACCGGATGACTTAACTTGATAAAAACTAGAAATAATTTGCATTATTTTAAATGTGAGTTACTAATAATTGACTAAGCACTTAGTATAAAAGATAAAAAATGCCACTCAGTCCATTTAACAAGCTGTTACAGTCATTTATATGGATATTTCTATAGTAATTTTAATTTAAAATTACCTAAGAGAGCATATAAAAAGTTCACATAAATTATAAAAATATTAAAAATAAACAATTAAGTACTAATAATAAATAATGCATCGCGGAGAGAAGAGCGCCGATAATGACATAGAAATGATTGTATGTGCATGATTTTTATATACTATAATTGATTTGCCCACAATAATTTATAAAGAGGCTGGAACTTTAAAGCACCGCTATTACTCTTAAGTAACCTAACTATCCCTTACTGTACAACTTACGTATCTATCCAAAACGATCCATAAGAAAGTGCAATAACTTCCAATACTTCGTAGTCTTAATATAATAATGTATTTTCGAATGGATGGCAGGAAAATGGTTCATCGACGGTCATCATTACTCGACTATTTGTTTGTTTTGCATTGTTACAAAAGTGACGCTCAGCGCGAGGCGGGTAAAGCTCTCTGCTCGTCGGGCTCCTCCTTGGGCCGCGTCCATTTTATCATGGTCTCGGGCGAGCGGTACAGGAACACAAGTTTAGCGAACAAATCTTCTTCTAGCGCCAATTCAAGCGCTTCACGCACCTGGATATTAAACAAAAGCAATTAAAATCCATAAGGACCTTTACTTTACCGTTGTAACTTTTTTTTACAACACGACTTTATTGAAAAACATTTTTACCAAAGATTTGTCGCAAAAAACCATTACAAAGGTAAAAAAATGCATATAGTTGATCTCATTTTTGTGTAAAGATAAATCTAAGGAAGTGATCATATTGTATTCTTCAACTTTTTTTTTCTAAATAATATATTTTTACATATACATAAAGTAGCCATGTACCTAAAAGTCAGATTATCAGATTAGATGAGATTATATGAGGTTATGCGAGGCAGTGTGAGGTCAGTTTACGTACAAGGTATATGTCGAGACAGAGCTGCAGCACGCGGTCCACGTTGGGCAGATCGTCGAACATGATCTTGGTGTAGATGCCGGAGAAGAAGCCACGCAACACGCGCGACGCCAGGAACACGAACGTCGTGTACAGTCCGATTATACTGTACACACATAAGTTAACACGTTCAATGCCACCTCGACATTAACAAGAAAAATATGTAGTGGTAATCCGTAGTGGCACGTAACGTGTTATTAAACTGAATAGGGAAAATGATCTTTAATGTACGGAATCATGTTATTTTTGAGTCTATTTTGTTTATTTCTTTATCATGTAGGTGTGTTTAACTATTTAGATTCTTTATTTTTTATACATAGATTTCCACAAAATACTTCAATATGGCGTTCGCTAAGTATATTGTTGTATTGTAAGTTGACTCACCCGCCGGCGGAGATGAAGTTGAGCGTCTCGGGGAACAGCTTGTCGTTGAAAGTGTACATGACTAGCATGTCGCAATTATTCATTGGTATTGATGCCATCGGGTCCTGTACACATATAAAAAATAAATAAATAACTAATAAATAAATAAATAAGAATATGCAAATATCTATTGAAAATTAAATGTAATTGGTGACTAGCAAAAAATATATATAACTTCTGGGAGTTCTACATGATAACGGAGATCTGTTGAAAGCACGTAAGTCCTATTCAATGAATATACTAAGTACTATAAGGTAGGTAAGTAGTGTACGTGCCCTGGACTCGCAGGCTTCTCGTACACGCCAGTACATTGCGCCGCCGTCGCGCTCCAGTCGCAGCTCCACGTTGCGGTACAGCCGCGCGTTCTCGTCTGTACAAGTACAATCATATTGAATCATTAAATTAAAATAAATAAAATTGATACGATTAAAATAATAATAATCTTTTTTATACATAAAAATCAAGCGATGTTCGTTAGTCTCGCAAAAACTCGAGAACGGCTGAACGGATTAATCTTATATTGATCTTGAAATGTCCCTGGATGGCTAGAGAAGGTTTAAAAGGTGAGAAAAATTCGAATAATTGTTGGGTCTAATTAAGCTTTTTTTTTCATTCCACACGGACAAAGTCGCGGGCGACGGCTAGTAGTATTTAGAATTTACCGTCATCAGTGGTGGGTGGCATTAGCTGGTACGCTGGCTTCGCCGCGCCTTTGTTGAATACTTTTACGAACTTCGGGAACAGCGTCTTTACGTGTAACCTAAAAATATAACATAATCTTTACTACCCAGTCAAATGAAAGTCCGTAACCTCAGGATAACGGTCTTGGCTTGTGATTCTATATATATATTATAGTGATATAGTACCAGGTGTCTGGAGGCGAGGTGCCAGTGAGCAGCTGCAGCAGGGTGTCGCGCTCAGGGTTGGGTCGGCCGGCCACCAGTGCCGGCAGCGACACCTCGCGGCTGTCCTCCATCGTGGGCGGGTTCTGCGCGTTGTTGCTCGGGTGCGTTATCACGTACGTGAACTTCACCGTCAGCGACGCGTCTGTACAGTTTTACATATAGCTAGAGCATCTGTACTTGTCAATATTGGCATAAAGGGTAGAAAAACTGACTTTAATTCACTATAAATGTCAGCATAATCAAGAATAGTTATAGCACTAAACATACCACACATATACAAAAAACACTTTATTTAATATAAGTACTCTGTGGACTGTAGTCATAATAAAGACTTCCGTCAAATTTCATTCCAAAAATTCAAAAATAAGTAATATTTAAAATAGTTGAACAAAAAATGTCGTTTTTCCAGCTATGGATACATTTCGAGTTTTGTTTTAAGAATTAAAGCGCTTTTTAAAATCTGATTAGCATGTGTGTGTGTGTGTGTGTGAGAGAGCTTGTGCGTTTGTTAGTGTGTTATATGTGCGTGCTCGTTGTTTGTAGGCGTGGCATACTCACTAGAGGCAGCCTCGCGCTCGAGTCGCGCGAGCTCCGGCGGCGAGATCTCCCACTTCATGGTGGAGTTGGGATTGATGGTGATGACGGCCACGTCGTTGTACATATAGTTGGAGAGGAAGGTCTGCGCGGTGCGGTCGCGCGCGTACAGGTTGCTTAGCTGCGTGTAGTCTTGTTCAGAATAGCTGTAAGGAAAAAATCAAACACTCGATTACATAGCTCTTAGGTATCAATTAAAAAGGTTTTTGATATAACAAATTAGGAGTGAAACAGAAAAAAAACTTGATTATTTGATTAAAAAAACATTACATATCGATGTTGTGTGACTGCGCCGACATCTGATAGACGGGCAGGAAAGGCCCGATGCGAATCTTGACCGTCACGTCAGTGGGCGGGTTTGGTTGACCGACCTAGAAAATACAAAATTAAAGTGCAAATAAATATAATATACTATACAAAGTAATTTATTTTATCTGTGGACTAAATTTTTTATTTGTACCTTTTCTGGCGATAATAATTAAATGCACAAATGTGTTTGTGTAATTTCTTACGGAGTTGCCGAATGCGAAGAAGACAAGCGGGAACCATATGATGGCGATGACGAAGGCGAGTACACCACCGCCCAGTAGGTACTTGGAGGTGCTCGATTTCTTGACGCCACGCGGCTGCGGGAACTCATCTTCCACGTATCGCGAACACTGACAACATATAAAAAAACAATATAACAAAAAAAATGGCGATTTAAAATTGCAGATTGTTTTTCGCAACAGTAAATTCAAATGGGAGATATTATCAGATTATTTTAGATTCTTATTTGTAGGTCACGTTTGCTCATTAGACGTTATTTACCTTGAGGAGAAATACGCTGGCGAATATATCCTCCATTTTGAGCCAGTCGAGCAGCGTCATGGAGGTGTCCGTCCAGATCCAGTCCATGAGCGTGCGCAACTCAAACACGAAGGGCACAGCCATGAATCTGAATAAAAAAATACACTAATTTTTACATACACATTGAAAATTTAAAACCATTCTCCCTTTTAACAGAAAATGGTTACAAATATGAGGATGTTACAACCTCAAATATTTCTACGATTTTTATAATTAAGTCAAGAATTCCAAAATATTTAAAAAGTTCACAAGGACTATTAGATGCTAGAACTGACCCCCTGAAGAAGATCATGTTGAGGAAGTGGTAGGACTTGCAGAGGAAGTTGCCAATGATGCGGCGCGGATAGCCGCAGCGGATCTGGTACGCGGAGAGCAGCAGGTACACGCACTTCACCATGTACCACATCGGCGGCGGCAGCAGCGCGTTGAACGTCCTGTTCACAGTCACATACAACCTCATTAGTTATGGCTGACTTATGCCCACTTGCTCGGATAGTCTTGTCGATCTAAGGCTCAAAAATTATTTTCATCAAATTTCAATTAATAGTTTAGGAACGCTTAAAATACAAAAATTCTAATAATTTATATATCTGTACTAATATTGTAAAGAGGAAAGTAGTGTCCTTTTGTTTATTTGGATTGAATAGGCTTCAAAACTCGAAAATAGATGACATAGACTATATTTCTTAATAGATTTTGTATTAATTACGCTTGGACGAAGTCGCGGACAGCTACTAGTTGTATAAATATACCTTTCAGTGATGAATGGTAAAACAAAGAACATCCAGATGTGCACGCCGATGATGAGTGCGTACTGGAACAGGATCTTGCCGAGCATGAACTTGCGCAGGTAGAGAGCGCGGTCGATGACGATGAGCGCGAACTGCAGGATCAGCATCACAAGGAATGGAATCGGCACCTTGTTCTCTTCCAAGTACGCCTGCACGCCGCCGTCGCCCTGGTGAGTCTGCAACATAACACAACAATTTAATCTAAGCTACAAACAATAATTAATTAGTTTAAAAACAATAATTCTGTCTATAATCCTATACGAGATGAACATAAATCGAAACTCGCTCTTAAAAGTCGGTCGAACCGTTTCGACAACAGAAGGACAAAAGAGAAGGGTCATAAAAAACGCATAAATAGGAGGACCCTTCGGGCAATATTACCTTTTTTGATATAAAAATTATAAATTGATAGTTTATTATTTGCAATATAAAAAAGATGATAAAACCGTACCCCGAATGCGGCAAACCCGAAGATGACAACAAGGAAGTTTAGGAAGTCGCATAGGAACATGTACGCGTACACATCTGCGGTGACGCGCGCGCCCGGAGCCAGCATACGCTTGAAGAAGCGCTGTGTTGGTCGTAAATAGCGTTTGAAACTGGAAACAAAAATAAAAATAAAGTGACGCAAATTTCATCCAACAAGCACCTAGACAGAGTTTCACTATAAATACGATAGAGGGCGTGCTAACAGCATATAGCACATCAAGTTGGCTGAAAATAGACGAAAACAAAATAATTCAGTAATGTTTTGCTAAACGAGAGTAATTGAAACAGTAAAATACTTACGACAACAACAATACTTGTGGATAATGTTTGTACGTATCTTCTAATGTCGTCGTCACAGCGATTATCGGCTCTTGATCGTCGTTTACTCTGAAAATAGTATTATAATTTATAATGAAATTTTATTATTTTTCAAATTTTAACATAACAAGTAAATAATAAAAGCGATATACGGCCATATCAGTAGTATCGAAAGTAAATAATGGCTTTAATGCATAAGATTACTTGTAGTGATCGTCGTCGGGAGGCTTGGAGGGTCCCGGCTCGTCTTCCTGCCGCTCGTCAAGCTCCGGCACCGCGGTGATGGCCAGGCTGCTCGCCTGACCTCCCGCCTCCGTGTTACCCTCCACTTGCCTATAATATTTTTTTTTTACTTAAGTCGAAACACATAATGTACAAGTGAAAATACCACTGCAGTTAAATAACGTTATTCTATAATGTAAACGAGTAACATTACTGAATGTGCGTCGTTTCATATATAAATTTCTTAATTTATTAATAATAATAATGAAATATATTTTTGGATACACAGCTGATTATAGCACAATAAAGTTCCTAAATTATCTACTACTTATCTACAAAAATACTTGTTTAATATAATATACTTATAAAAATAATTAATTAGCTATGTTACATATAACTACCTAATAAGTAAATACAAATATTTAAACTACAAAAAATGAACATACAATTTACACAATTAGCAATTATACAAGTATATTTTTTAATAATAATACAATCGCGAGGAGTTGCGCCTCGTCCAGAGCATGCGCACGAAGCGCGGAGAGAGGCGCGAGTAGCGGCTGCGCATGCGCACGCGCACGTCGTAGTCTATGTTGGTGGCGCGCTCGCGCTGCTGCTCCCGCGCCTGCTGCGACCGCCGCGCCTCCAGCGCCGCCAGCGCCTCCCGCAGCCGCGCCGCGCGCACACCACTGTCTGGTCCGCGAAATATGCATAAACCGCTGTCTCATACCCCACACACTGACACACCCGCAGACACACTTTTGTACACATTTTTATTATAACTTGTATGTTCATTTAAACATTTTTTGTAACTGGAATAAAAATAAGCAACCACGTAAAATGATCTAAAAAAAATCAATAAAAAAATAATCAAACACCATCATCAGTATTTCCTGCCGGATATGGAGTGGACCTACAAGAGAAGATTGAACAGGTTGTCGCCTACTTAAAAGAACTGTTTGTGTGACGGTGTACTAACGGTGCGGTGCGGTCGTGCAGACGCAGGTACTTTCGGCCGACGTCCGCACCGCGCCCCTCCACCACGAGGCGCGTGTCGTCCACCGACAGCTCGTACTCAGCGTCCTCGCGCAGCTCCAGCTCCGGCGACGACTCCTTCCACAGACCCAGCGACTTCAGCATGAACCTGACCACGTACATAAATTGCAATACTTGCACTTACACGTACATTTTTTCTTAAAACTCGACTCATTAGACGCAGACGCAATGTTAAAAAGTTTAAAATCTTCTGTAATAATTAGGCTATTAAAATATATTATTATTATAAATGCGAATATTTCGGTGGATTGATGGATGTATGTTAGAAGGTATCTCTAGAACTGCTCAACCGATTTTGCTGTAATTTGGCTTAGATGTAGAACATAGTCTGGAAGAATACATAGACTACTAATTAAGATTTTCTTTACTTTGACGCGGACAGTGAGGCGGGTAACAGCTAGTATGATCATAAATACCTATGCAAGAATATGATGAGCAGTAGCAACAGATCGTAGAGGGCGTAGTTATATTTCCTCTCAATTCCAATAATACGGGGCGCCGTGAAGGGCATATTGGCCGGGATCGCCTTCTGGTTCCAAGGTAGTATTTCAAATTGGAACATACTCTTTATCAGCACGATAACCTATAAAAAGAAAGTTGGATTAATAAAAGTTTAAGTATTACATTCAGTATCTCGTATTAAAAAAAAATTACCTCCGTATAAGCAATCAATGTGACCCAGAATGTTTTAGTCGGTCGTGGTATAGTAACAGTGCCCCACAAGAACACCATGAGCGGCAACGGTATAGAAAGGATCGTCGCAGATTGAATCTATATTAACAAAAATAAGAAAATAAAAAAATGAGAAATTATTGATTTCTATAGAAGAAACATAAGGTATTTTAAATTTTCTGACAAAACTGGACATTGGACAAAAGACAAAAAAATCACAGACGAAATCTTAAAAAATTAAATGATTGAAATTAACGCGTACCTGATTAATAAAAACCATGATATAACAAACGATGTCTGTGTGGGCGAGTACGGCGTACCACAGCGCGTATGCGAGGTGTAGAATCGGGGACTTGTCCTGCTTGAACATCGAGTCATCTTGCTCTTCCAACGTAGTCACGTCTTTGCTAAAATATTAAACGACTATTTAATAAACCTATTTCAAAAACAATCAAGCAATACCAAAAATACAAAACGTGCTATAAATACATCGAAATATATCGAACAAATGCCGCTAGAAATTGCTGAAAGAGATATTAAAACTGTGAAAAAACAATATTTATATGTTCAAGGAAAAAAAAACATTTATAAGTATAGATAGAAGAACGTAAAGAAAGGAAACTTATAAGTATAGACAAAAGAATGTAGAAGAGAAATACAAAATTAATCTGGGATAAAAAAAAAACGAGCTACAAAATGCATACCTCAAACTTACAACTCTATATTTCAGTAATACATCTTCAAAAGTGTACAGAATATTGCGATAAATAAAATACTTACTCTTACCAACGATGAATAAAATAATGAAGATGTAAGAAAAAAAAAGAAGAGAAGAACAAGAAAGCTAAGCCCATTTCAAGCGACGACATTAATTATATCCAATGAAATTTAGGACATCAATTAACATTTCATTCTTTGAACACCAGGACTTTTTAGACTCCCAGGTGTTAAGAGTTATGTCCTAAATTTAATTAGAACCATCGATTGAGTAAACCTTTCAGTGGTCTGTAAGCTAAACGCGCTCTCATGTTCGGAGGTGTCATCTGAGGGCGTGGGGGAGGCGGGCGTGGCGGGGGAGGCGGGGCGCGGCGGGCTCGCGTCCAGCCCGCGCTCCATGCTCGGCGCCAGTATGCGGATCTCCGGCACGCTTATTTCGCTTAACTTACGGCTGCAAATATCCCACCACCCTCTCTTGTTTCAAACGTATTTAGCCTTTAATTTTGCCTTATTTATTCAGTTATATTAAGTTTTTTTTAAACATTTTATTATGTGTGATAAGAAAGGTTATTTCGAGTTATCTCTTGAGTTCTTTTTCACTACAGTTTTAGTTCATATTTATTATTATTGAAAATGTTAATGCGCTCTCTGTGCATGCATCTAAGGACGCGTGCTAGTTATGCTAAAAATGTCCTACTTTGCCACAAAACCTACGATGATCTTCGACGAGGACCCATGAAACCAAATAAATTTAGCCTAAATTAATACTAATATGTAATATTCTAGTTATTTTTTTGATACTACCTAGATGCTGTTAAATGACATGCGTCAATAAAAGCGTAATACAAACCCCATCTCGACAGAGGGCACCTGCAGACGTTGGTCGGAATGTTCCCTCTCCCCTGGCATACTACGCGGCGTGCGGAAATAAAATCTATTGCTTATCACTACAATACTCAGTCCATACTACGATCTATTTAATCCAAAGCTTCATGCTTATAAACTGTTATAGCTTTTATGTCTTATAAATATTTATGGAATAAAACCGTAGCCACTAAAAAACTTTTCTCAAAACAATTTATCTCAGATTCAATTCTAAACACTACAAGTCAGCACAGTTCAAGAAATCTCTAATCTCTAGTAGTAATTATAGTAAAAATGATCTAAGAGATGCAAACCTAAACGTGCAAATAGTAGTAACTAATACCTACTGGTGTGCTAAAGTTTCCGGCAACGGCTCCCATATCATTTGTGATCCTTCGCGCAGTCCGATACCAAAGCCTTCCTTTTCCTAAGACAGAATAATATCACTTAAACATAAAGTTGAATATTATAAAAACATTTAATGGCAATAGCTAAGGAAGTACAATAATGCAGGACGTACACGTTAGATTTTTCCCAATATTTCTGACGTTAAATGCATAAGTTATAAGAGTTTAGGACCTAGCATTTGTCTTATAAAACTGTATGTTAACCTTAAGTATTTTCTTCTCAACAGACAGGGTTCTAGAGACGTAACGGTAGTCACGGGAGTATTTCATGAGGTGCCTCGTCAGCGAGACTAGTAGGCTGGAGATGAACGCCCACGCTGTCCGCATGTACGTGTACAGCTTCTCTAGCGACGATTCCTTCTCTGTTCGCAATCAATATCATACATTTCAAACCATTAATTTTCTCATTAATCTTTTCATACATTTACATCACATTTATATCATGTGTTAGCGGTACTAAAAAAATGGAGCATCTCTTATGGTTATGTGCCATAATTTCATAAAATATTATACAAAAGCGTTGGTTGTCGACGTACGGACTTACAATAAGACAGTGTTACTATAATCAGGTGGTCAATTTCATAATTTACTTTCTAGTAAATAATAATACTAGTTCTTTGTATGATTGTATACCTGGCATCGCTCCGTAGTCATCAATTTCGGAAGGCTGGCGATCTCGGTCGGAGAGCTCTCCATCGCGCTCCGACACGTCCGCGCCCGACGGCGACCGCGTACGAAGCTATCCCGTTAATATTATTCAAATTATTAGAACGAGAAGGTATATGTGTATGAAAGAGAAAGAAGTATATAAATTAACAGTTAATAAATCAGAGATTATTACATGATAGTCAATTTTGGAAAAATTAATTTACTTTTCATTATTGTTATTGTTAAAAAAATTAACAAAAATTTTGATGTGTTTTTATTCAAATAGTTATTGTTTAAGACTTATAGAATAAAATATGTAAATAAAATATTAAATGACATAAATTAGCAAATAAAGAAAATTAAGTGTTGATTTAAAATAGGTCCTACAAATATTTATATAAATGTATAAAGGCACAGAAATAAGTATTGTGTTATTAAGAACAAAGAAAAGCAACAAACCAACATATAATAAAATTCATGCTGAATACCAAATACCAATAAATGATCGTCCACTTACCATAATTATGATGGAAATGCAACTACATACTTTTGTAAAAAACCAAACTTAAAAAAACATTTGGTACACGTTACATCGATGAACTCTAACTTTGGCGATATGATTACTTGAACCATCAGGCATCAATCATGACTTCGATAATGAAATTGTGCAAAATAATTGGGAGCAATATAAATAGCTAAAAAAATATAATCGAATATTTGGACAATTTTTTATCTAGACTAAAGCAATTAGTAAAAATGTATTCTTCAAGCGCGTGATCGTCTTTTAATATCTGGGGAGGTGAATTTTATTTCATTAGTGGACATAGATTTTTTGTCTCTGAAAGGCAAGTCTAAGCCTCCACAGCTTAGAATAGAGAAGGGAGCGATGTACACGTGTTCAGCATTTTGTGTACCTGATGTGGGTCGGAGTGCGGGTAGGTGCCGAGAGAGAAGTGCCTGTCGGTGCGCGCGGCGGGCGCGGAGGAGCGGCGAGCCGACACCGCGCGCCGCAGGTCCGACTTGATCACCGTCGACAGCAGCTGCCAATGCAACGCGGTAAGCGCTACCCACCACCACCCTTATCCCCCCCCCCCCCCACAACCCCACACACCAACACTGTCGCTTCCAGATTTTTCTACTGCTTTTCATTTACTACTTTGTGTTTAAAACCTAAATTCTTTGTTTTGAAAAATATTTATGTGTAGTTCAAAGATTGTACAATTTTAGATACATTTGTTTACTCAAAAGTGTTGTTTTTATAATAGCAATAGTTCTATTAAATATTGAATATCTAGAAGCAACATGTGTTCGCTAGAAGTCAAGGCAGTGCAAGTTACTGCTTATGTTAGTCACTAGAAGCGTCCCGAAGCTTAAGCCCCGTTCACCCTTTCGTAAGCAATACCCACACATTGTAGACCTAACTCTCCGTATATAATTCTTAAATAACTTATTAAAACGGACAATAGTAATGGAGCATGCTTGTCATAACCACATAAATTTTACTTAATTCCTATAAAACATGCCCACGTTTTAACCATGACCATCTGCTAAATGCCGTAACCATAACGGAAAATCATCATAATAGGTTCCTTTTTTAAACCATACTTTTTTTTTAATTTATCTCACGAACCTATTATTTTGCGATGACTTATCTTCCAAAAACCTTTTCAAATAAAAACTGTAAGTTTCTAATAGTTTGAATTACCTTGCCGAATCCCATTTCTTTAGGCGCATCTTCATCGGAGCTGGAATCGTCGTCTTTCAAATGCAAATCGGTGTCATCAAACTCATCGAACATGTAGTAGTCTCCAGAGCGTACGGCTGTGTGCAGGTAACAACAGATCAGTATATAGAAGTCATTATCATGCTAAGTGTGGTTTGTAAAGCAAACTATGTGAATTAGTGTAACTGCATTAAATTCAGTTAAAGTAAAATTTAATTATAAATAAAAATACTAATATTTTAATAATGTTACTATTTTATCGGATTGTAAATTGAATTAATTTTATTGGTTTATTTTTTAATATTTTTAATACTTTATTTGTAAAATATAATAATTTTAATAATGTAATAAGATTTATTTTAATATAGCTATAATTAATTAGCAATTTTAATAAAAATATTATATTATAATAATTAAAAATTAAATTCTAATACTGTGTTAAATATGTGTGTGTAAACATAAATTCTTGTAGGTTAGAAGAAAATGCCCAAAAACATGCAAACAAACACACAAAATGGCGGCGAGTGCAACAAGCCTAGAAGCGACCAATCGGCGGACATGCAGCCAGTGCTCGGGCGTGTTCTGTCTTCTTTGACACACGTGAAATCATCGAATATTATTTACAATTTTTACATTAATTTCGATCCCACGAGTTAATCATCAGCATAAGACAGCTCCCGCCAAAACAATGCATCCGACTTGCCTACATACCATCACCTAGAAGCTGAACGGTTAGTACGGTACATGTTAGCGCGAGAATATCCGAGACTGAACGTTACCCTTCTGATGGCTGGCGGGCGGCTTATACGGCGGCCTGTCTCGTGCTACAAGAAAAATGCACAGCTCAACACTACAATCTCACACCTTATGATACGGCCAAGGAAATATTACAGCTAGATTATATCGGCTGGCGAAGTTAACACATCGGCGTCACCCTCGCGCCGCGCCGTAGAGTTATTGCAAGCTGCGCTATCTGACGCGGAATTAGTAAACCAATTGAACGTAAGACGTTAATACTTGCGCAGAAATTTAGGTGCTCGCTAGAGGAATGTGGACCTCGAAAACATGAAAACGTTCGTTCTCTCAATTTTCTCGGTTCGAAAAATTACAAGAAAGATGTTCCTCGTTACTCTGAAGAGAGACTTTAAAAGACAATCACTCGTACATAAAATAAGAAAAGTACGTTATAACAAAAATGTTCCCACACCATCCCTTTGTTAATGTCGACTATACCTTCGTGTCTCTTAGTGAATATGCGTCTTCTAGTCGTACAACCAGACTCACTTCCTATATGAATAGAAACAATAACATAACATTTAAACATGTAACTTTAGATCGATGCTTTACATTATTTACAATGAGAAATATCAAATCGAGTGTATCTTTGTAGACGCACTAAATCACATCTAGATTTGTAAAATGTGCACAATATTCAGTTGAATTACAGGTGTGGTGAGAGTTGGGTTCAGCGCGGCTGGACTGCGAGATGATGGAGGTGCGCTGCACGCTGGGGCTGGCCAGCGTGTGCCGGCGCCGGATTGGCGGGGGCGAGAACACGGGGTACGACTCCTCGGGGCTCTGCGCCCGCGGGAGAAGGTCCGAGGAGGGGGGAGATTCGAAGGAGATGCGCCGCGGTTCGAGGTAGGCGTCGAGGGAGACGGTCATGAGAGCGGAGGAGGGCGAGGGAGGGCCGCCCTGCGAGGGGGGCGGAGGCGCGGGGAGGGCGGGGAGTGTGCGGGGCGGGAGGCGCGAGGGGGAGCGCGGGGGCGAGGGCTGCGGGGAGGGCTCGCTGACGGGCGTGTGGTAGCCGCGGGGCGAGGCGGCGCTGTCGGGCGTGTGGAAGCCGCGGGACGCGTCGGACTCCCCGCGCACCAGGGGCACCTCCGACTCCCCCTGTTGCGTCTCTTCCTCTTCCTCCTCTTCCACTTTTTTGTCAGCGACGCAGGTTAATGTTAATAAGATTTTGTGTTTTAAACTCATAACATATTTAAATTATTGTCGATAACAATTTCTCATTTAGCTAATAAAAGTAATGAATATATCACTACGCTTGCTTAATTTTCATTTTTCTTTATATTGGAGTTTCCATTTACGAATTCTGATCAAAGGTCAATTTATTAAAACCATCATGATCTCTTGTAGGTCTAATACAGATACAAAAGACCGTTTAAATATTTCATAACCTATTATAATTATTATTCAAGCAACAAAATAGATTACTTTACCAGCGTCATGCTGCAGAGGCTCCTTGGACATTGCGCCTTGAATCTTCTTTTGGTTGGCCTTAATTCTCTCCATCTTTACTTTTATCTTCTCTAATATCTTGATTTCCTGCTCCTCCTGCACTTGCATTTGCTTTTGTCGTAATTCTTCAATTAATTCAGCTCCTCTGGTAAATTATATAAATACGTTTTTAGTCAAAGAAATTGTTTTATAACTTATTGATATATTAAAATTTACCTGGAAGCAAGTACAGTGGTTGCTTTGCTTTCATCGATGACTCTATAAAAGTAGTAACTGTGGAATAGACGGCGCTGGAGTATTAGAAAGGCGAAACAGACGCCATCCCACGCTAAACCAATGTCCTCTTGTGGCACCGAACACGCTGAATCCTGAAAGTGGGAGAATTTGTACGGTTTAACAAATATATATAAATTCAATGAGTAATCAGTGAGTCAATCAAATTAAAAGTACCATGTATAAAATATATTGTTATCTCGGTTTTTTCAAAAGACAATAAGATAAAGCTTTGTTTCATGTAAGGATTTTGGTCTCAGAAACCAAAGATAAGTCTCATATTATGTAGTATGTGATAGAGATAACTCAATACGAAGAAATCAGTTGATTGTATTTTGCCGTTGACTGTATAAGTTGTATAAGCATTTACGTAAATGAATGTATGTATGAGGCTGTGTGTATAACCTTGTCATACTGCATCTTGATGAAGCGCGCGATGTTACCGCCTGCGAACTTGTCGACGCAGCCGATGCCGAGCAGCTGCACCAGCCAGCAGGCGCGCGCCTGCATCGCGCCGCTGAAGATGCAGCCCGGGATCTGCAGCAGCGCCTTCACCACCACCACGCACACGTTGTACCGCACCAGCCACGACCACCTCAACACACCGCATATATTACAATAGATTACAAGAAAACACATGTCAATGATCGCGACCGATACATAATGGATACGGTATATAATGCTAAGGGGGTTACTAAAAGTTTAAAGTAAAGAAAATCTCACTAATAGATAAATTTAAATTATCAATGACAAAACAACGTTCTTACCATTGTAAAATAGCTTCTTTTGGTCGTAGATAGAAGTCTGTGCCTTGCCAGAGGAAAATAAAAGACCCGATAAGGTAGCCCATGGAGAAGAGATTGACTCGGTTAGTGCCTGTCATGAACATGATGGCCAGCGTCACCCACAGCATCCCCAGGAACACCATGCGCTTGATCACATCCAACCACGACCTGGGGAAGACATTAATGCGGTCAACGAAAGTTAGCCAACGGTTTCTCGTTAAGCATGATATAACATTCTCACCCGACGTAATCCAGGAAGTCCGGGACTGGGTTAACAAAGTTGGGAGTCTCCCAGTCCTTGCCGATGTCTTCGCTATTGGAGCCGCCCGGATACGCGGCGCCGTGAGTGCGCTCCAGCCGGAACACGCGTAGCTGCCGTGCCGCGAACAGCAGCAGGAAGTAATCGAAGATCAGCTTGACGGCGTGCGGCGGCTCCGCGGGGTACGGTAAGTACAGCCAGGAACGTACGTGCTTCATTTGCTGTAAAGTTATTTAAACTTATTGTAAGTATGTAAAAATATAATTTTTAAGCATACACCAGAAAGTTCGATACCTTCTCATGTAGAAGTACAAAAGCAGAGGGGGGAGACCAACAGAAAGAGACAGAAGGAAAGAGAGATAATTCTAACCTGTGTTTCACCGCTCCAGGGGAACGTGAGACAGAGCTGCGGCAGGAAGCCGACGGAAAGCATATACTGCAGCGGCACGAGCACGGTGAGGCAGGCGGTGAAGGCGGGCCATACGCGCGCCAGGCGAGCGCGCGCACACGACACCAGCGCCAGCAGCCAGCCCGCGTACACCGCCGCGTACACGTCCATGCGAGACCCGATCACACCCATCAGGCAGATCAGGCAGATCTACAAATATCGATTCGTAAATAATTCTAGAAATTGCTTCTGAAAATCTAAATTTCAACTTTTACTTCGAAATAAAGTAAGTTCATAACTTACCTCAACACCAAATTTGTAGAAGCCGTAGTTAACCAGATATTTAATGCAATGTATTAAATCTTTGTCAGCCTCTTTGCGCGTTATCTCTGGGAACATTAATTTTTCCGCACCACTTGGTAGAAGACCTCGATCTCTACAACATTAAAAAAGTAAGATAACATAATTAATGAGAGAACATAATTTAATGAGATACCAGAAACTAATATTTAATGTAACAAACCTTATATTCTTCTGTCTGTAACTGACAAGCGAGTAGAAGGTAAATACTGCAATAAGTCCAATGTATCCTTTGAGCAACACAACTAGAGGGCGGTCGTGAGTCGCCTTGTAGAAGCCCACCCATTCCGCGTTGTTATACGTTGTTATGTTGCCATCGGACTAGAATATTAAAAAATAAAAATGTTAAATCCAAAAATAATAACAGTTTTATTGGTCAATGGCCATTAAAATTAATGTAGATAAGATATTACTCACTGCAGTACAGTTAACATCAAAATATGAATGCTTGATGTATTCGATTTGATACACCATTTTCGCCATTAGGTATATGCTGATAAGGGTCGATATCAACAGCACGCAGAAACGTTGTTTTCGTGAGTTCAATAACAGAGCGGGTGAAATTAACACCATGATTGGCACATGCATGGCACAAACCTTAAACAAAGACAACACTTTAAATATGATAAAGATATAAAAGTTGGCAGCAACTACTTCATTCTGACCTTTTCTAGAGGACAAAATTGACCTAATTTTATATTTGTAGAACATAATTTGTGTAATTTTTTAACCGAGTTTCTATTTATGATTATATTCTTTGAAGCACCAAGTCGAAACTAACTATCACCGTATAGCACTTGATTTAACTTGTATAATGTTGGTATAGTGGTACTCACGTTCATGACACAGAGCAGCATGAGGGCGAGGAAGATGACCTTGAGGAGATGCAGGTCGAGGAAGAGGAAGGCGCGGTCAGCGGCGCTCTGCAGCAAGTCTCGCGCACGCCGCAGCGCCGCCAGCAGCCAGGGCTGCAGCGTGGTGGCCCGCGACCCTCGCGACATGCGCGACCCACGCGACCCGCGCGACCCGCGCTCCGTCGCATACGACCGGCTACGAGACGGCTTCCTGTACAATTGTGAAACAGATTAAAGTTGATTCATAATGTCGAAATACCAATAATGTGTTTTTACCGGCTAAAGTGTACTATACATTAAACCTATACCTATATAAAGAGCGCCTTGAGCCCCGCATATTGTCAGTCTTAGAGTCTTCGCCGCTGGGCCCGGAGCCTACGTGGTCTTCTTCCAACGGTAACGCTGGAAACTGAAGATAAACACAATATAGCATTATTCATAAAAAAAAAATCGCTATATTTTTCGTCATCGAACTTTTCTGAAAACAAATCGTAACAAAATCGAAAATGTCTTACATCTTTTATCGTGGAAGTACCAGCTTGACTCGGATGACTAGATTCTCTACGTGTAGCGACACTGTTTGTCCTGCAATTTAAAAAAAATCGGAAAGTTATATTTTTTTCGTAATAAAACAATATTCTTTCTACTAACTACAATAGTACTTACGTCGTATTTGGATCTGAGAGCGCCAGAAAGTCTTTATGGAAGTAATGGACCTGCATTATAGTTATAATGAGAAACAACGTAGGCGTTAACAATTTGACGAACAAATCCGCAGGATGATATGGTTCCAGACCTAAATCGTGCTGTCTGAAACAAACAAATTGCAAGTTAATAATTACAATAATTAAAAAAAATCATCAAAAAAGTTACGATTCACAGTTTCACTTACAATCTCTCATTGATGAGAAGATATTTCTCTATCATCTTGGAGAAGTTGTCGAACTGGTATATATAAATAAGTATCAGATTGATCATCGAATATATGATGACAGTTATCCAGAACATATACATTAGCCGTCGCCACCAGTACCAACTTATCTGTGAAAAACAAACGTTCCTATTATAAAATTTATCATTAAAACATAAGTTCACATACAGAATCCAGGACTAACAGTGGATTTCTGAGACCGAAATCCACGTTTAAAACTCATTGTTATTTTTGTTTTGTCAAAGATGACACACAGGGATGGCGATATATTTTACTCAGAAAGCAACTGTTAATGTTCAAAAATCGATAAATCATGTAAAAAAAATTGAATGAACTCGTAAAAATAGTAGTTAGTACATACTTGGAACATCAATATAAATGCGAGAAAGAGGAACATGTAGATGATGCGGAAGATGGTCATGCGGTCTCCGGTGACACCGATGACAAACAGCATGATGACGACCACGTAGATCCAGTAGCGCGCGCACGCAGCTCGCAGCCACGCCCCCAGCGCGCGCAGCAACCGCGACCGCGGCTCCTCCCTCACTCCTTCCACACCTAATACATTCTCTTGCCTTATACCCTCGTTTTATTGTCGTTAGCGACATATTATATAATTAATAAAATCTAGAAAATTGTTTGGTGTTAAAGAAGTAAATATTGATGAAAACTTATGTGCTTAGTGTAACATAGTAGAGAGATCATTGTATTTGAGTTGATAAGAATAATTAAAAAAAAAATTGCCAAGTATTTTATTGATTGCCAATATTAAAAAGTTTTTGTCTGACCATTACCAAAAGCTAGTCCTGTAAAGTCGCAAATGTGAATTATTTTAATGTTAAATCAATCAAATAAGGGCTTTCATAAAACTTTCTATTTACACGTACATAACACGTTATGAAATTTCTGAAATATATAAAAATATTTTTATTTTAATTTCTTGATCTATGAGAAGAAGTAAACCAAGTTATAAAATGTCAATACCCGCGCCTGCAGTGGACGCGGTGAGGTGCAGAGGCGCGGCGAGGTCCGCGGTGGCGGCGGACTGGCGGCGCACGCGCAGCTCGTGCACGCGCTGGCGCAGCGTCACCCAGAACATGCACGTGAACAGCGACTTGATCAGCAGCGGCAGGCACGGCTCGCCCTCGCCCCGACCCACGCCGATCTGACGCAGGTTCACCTCCTGACACAACATACATATATTAATAACAAAAAAACGATGTTATTATATAACAAATATATCACCCACTTTTTCGCTAGTGCAGCTATTTTTTTAATCACTTCCTTATATATTGCAAAGGGCATGGTGATGCAAAAATGAACTCTAATGCTATGCACTTAAGTCACATTTTATTCTTTTACTAGTAAACTAACACTAGTAAATTACGTACCGTTATATTAGAAGGTAGTTCGCTTTCGTACAAGTTCATGCCGTATATGTACTGCGCGATTAGCAGCAGCATGGCGTAAAAGACGAGCACAGGGCTGGTCTTTAGCATGAATGAGCGTTGGTTGTGGCACAGCCAGACCATGTTGGCCCACATCAGGAACACGAACGTCAGCCATGAGTGGAACATTATGCTCCAAGCCATCATCGTAATCGTCGTCGCTATGTACGATGATCTGGAAACATATTATGTTGATTACTTCTTAGCAGAATACCTATGTAGAAACCCCTTCAAAAATCTAAGTATCTAGCTAAAAAAACGATAAGAATGCTCCTTTATGGCCTAAGAATAAATCTAGAAATGCCTAAATAGGCGGTCTCACTTTTAACACGCTTTTCCGTAAGTTGTTTATACGTACCCTTAATTTTTTTTATTTCAATATTTTCCAAATAAATTAACGGTCATTATAAGTAAGGATTTTTACGCGACAATTTTTTGAAATTTTTTGATCATATCATTGTGTAAGATATATAATTCTTAATTAGTATATACTTATAACACAATACAAATGATAATTCTTATATATAAAATTCTCGTGTCACAATTTTCGTTCCTATACTCCTTAGAAACGGCTTGACCGATTCTCATGAAATTTTGTGAACATATTGAGTAGGGCTGTGAATCGGCTAAAATCTATTTTCAATCCCGCGCGGACGGAGTCTCGGGCCACAGCTAGTTTTTATGTAACATGATTTAATATGGAACACATGACATTGGCCGTGTTAAAACAAATAAGGAAGGCCTTGTAATAGCATGCGAAACGTGCATACAAATGTATACCTTACTATTATCGTATGATTCAGTTTCAATAGAATTTAACACAAAGATGTTCAACGAAACATATTGGTGCTTAAAATTGACTCTACGTTAAACTTACCTGATCAAGACTTGGAAGAAGTCTATAATAGCTGCCACTACATCATCCATTAATGTCGGTTCTTCTTCTTCTATGATAGATTCTAAAAAAAATAAAAATAAAGGGGACATCTAAAAAGCTTTCTTATCCTATATTCCTTATCTAGCGTCTTTATCTAACTTAATTATTTTATCGGTATTGCGTATTCGTAATGATTTGGTATAGGGTAAACGGCATATTGATTGGTCACCTGTCATAAAAATATATTACCGTCATCAGGAACAACGACGGATCCCGTGGAGTCCTGGTGCAGCTGGCGCGAGCCGGATCGCGAGCGCACACTCGGCCAGCGCCGGCTCGGCGACGTCGCACTTATCAACTATCAACATGTCCAGAACGTTACTATATCTAGATTATTCCAATTTTGTATGCAAGCGTTCACGAATAACATACAACGTTTAAGCGTTTTGATTGACGATAAATGTATTGTATAACCCGTTGAATAATTTAAATTTGAGGATAAAATGTAGATATTATAATGCTTTCAACATGGAAAAAAAGAAAATTCAGTGTATTTGGCAAATGTCGTTTTGCTAGAAAAATTACTTTGGTCGCCAATAACAAATCAAAATACACAAGAAGTTTTGCGTGAGATTCCAAAAAAAAAGTCTAGCTTAGTCTAGTCTATAGGAAACTATAGTCTTATATATGTTGGTGCTAAGTAATCTTGTATAACTTTTTACTGTAACTTACATAAGGATACTTTTTTATTAGGCTACTTAAATATAATATACTGTAATAGTATTTAAAAACAATTAAAATGCAACAACAAACATCAAAATGTTAATATGTGAACAGGACAACAATGAGCAAGCGTGATCGGCCTCAATCATGATTATAGACAAATAAATTGAAAAAAGCGATTAAAGCAGACAAAATGGATGTCTCGAAATCTTTTGGAGCACATAAAGCAAGCGTGAAAACGAAAAGAAATAGGAAATACATACAGGTGTGTTCTCACCGACGTCCCGTCGCAGTGCTTGGGAATTTATGTATGAATATGCAACCTACAAAAGAATTAAAGCAGGTTGCAAAAACAACATATAAAAAGTTACGGAAGTAACGCCATACATTAAAAAAACAAAAACCGGATAGCTGAAAAAGTTAGCACGAGTCATGCCCTCTCATCTATCGTGTTCAGCTGATGCATGAGGTGCAAATATTAAAGGTGCATTAAAATGTTACAAATGTTTAATATATTTCTATTGATTTATAAAACGAATAAATAAAGTACTAGACGCATTTTACAGCTACAAATAAAACGGTGCGGCGTTCATTGAACTTCAACATTACGTGTGTAAATAAAATTAAAAGGTTCACTACGACGATACTAGTGCGAGAGTCCGCGCGCGCTTACTCGAACTTTTTTAGTTGCGCTCTTCCATTTGTCCCTTGTGAGGCGACGGCTGCGGTGGAAAGATACGCCGCGCACCAATGAACCGTTCACCTTCCCGGCCTCTACGCCGGTTAGGGTCTTTCTCTTCGGCTACACCCCCCCGGTTAGGTTGCACAAAAAGAAAATTACTATAACATAAGGTGGCGAATCCAACTTCTACGGCAGCGGTACGAAGGCGATTCAAATCAAACGGCATCAGTGTTACAGCCAAACTCGAATAATGAGACTACAAGCGTATGTTTAATCATGTTAGTAATAGAGAGATCCTATAGTATCATAACATATTGCAATAGTGAAATAATTTTATGAATTAGTACATACCTTTGGCTTGAACAATTCGCGGCTCTCGATCGCGAGGAAGAAGTAGGTAAAGAGTATAACTAGGGGACTCGCAAGTGTAGCCCACATGTGGTCGTCGGTCACTTCGTATGTAAAACTATCTGAATCTGTATCGTTTAAGATGACTAATTTTGTTAAACCGAAGTATCTGCAAGAATTTTGAAAAATATGTTGTCATCTCGCGCACACCAGCAAACACTTAAAATCGACATGTGTTCATTCCGAATAGTACTCTTATAATGGCTCAAACCTTGTTAGATTTATTTTAACGAATAGAGAGAGAACTTATAAATTTCCAAAGGAGTTCTTAAGTTTGCCGTCACTCACCTAGCAAAGTTTTCATCAGGTGGGTAAATATTAATGATCCAAGAGCATTGATAGACGAGTAGGATTGTGATGTGCGCGGCCATGATAGCCATGAGGCAGCGGCTGACGACCGCAAAGCCGCGTTCCAGTGGCCGGCCCAGTGACCACGCTGTCGCCGCGCTCATGAACATCAGAAAGTAAATGCCCGACGTCACACTCGGCCGCATTATTCCAGAGAACATTATCAGGAACAGCGCTATGTACTTGCCTGTCAATAACATTTTAATCATTGCATTTACTATAATACTTTATGTACTACACATTGGGTTGTGTCAAAATCACCGTTACTAATATTTTTGCTACAAACAATTTTCGGTGATTTTATTAAACGCATGTTTACGTTTCCATCAATGTCTTTTATTCTGGCAACATAAATTTTCCTGGTTTCTGTTTCCTCATTCTTCGGTAAAATTTAACCTAAGCAATTTATACAGAACATATGGTAAAATGTTAACATAGGTAATAAATGAGTTCATGATGTCAATAGATTTTTTAAGTTTCTAAACAATTTCGAGCCGCTCCAGACGGTTCTGAATCACGCATTTTATATTTAGCATCTAAAATAAACATTGTGCTTCGATACTACTGAACTCAATTCTTATCATTCACTTGCGTTAAATTGCAATGTACTGTGTAACATACATAAGTTTTAGCTAAAAGTAAGTGGGTGTAGACTTAAGACATCGACTCCTAACCTACTCATGTCGTATTGACGCAAACGAACAAATTGTTAATGGTTACGGTTATGCATATTCCATTATTATTTTTAACCCCTGGATTTATATAGTTTACAAAAGAAGAGACGCTAGATACCTGCACTGGTAAGCAATGGATACCGCTGGTGCTTGGAGTCCTTCCTCGGCAGCTCATCCGGGTTGGTCACGGTGAGCAGACGTCGGACAACCAGGTACACTGTCAGCGATGACCCAGTTGCGACCAACTGAAAACATTAGTCTTACTTCTTAGTAATATTATGCAAAAGTTTAAATGGTTGGATGGATCGATGAATGTGTGTTGGAAAGTATCTCCTGAAAGGCTGAACCAATATTGATGAAATTTGGCACATATGTAGTACAAGGAAGGTTTGGAAGAATACATAGGCTATCTATTAAGTTTTTTTTTTAATGACGCGCAAGGAGTCGCAAACCTCAGCTAGTACAGTATAAAGAAATATCGAGTCACATAGCAACTAATTTCACTCATCGTACCATTTCCGTGCATGAAATCGTAAGATCCTCTTTATCCTTCAGTTTCTTATAAATGTTTTCGCGTGTTTATATATATTCAATGATTTAAATTGCAATACAAAATTTGTTTATTGATTTATTGTAACCGCCAATCAAATGCAGGTTGGTATCATGTTTTGAAATTTAAAACAAGCGCCCGGATGCTGAGTATTAAGCGATATGAAATGTTATTATGTTCAATAATGAAACAGACTCCATATTTGTAATCGTAGGCAAGAAAACCGGTCAAATTAAAAACCTGACATAGAAAAATAGTGTTTTAAATACCTCTGGTGCGACATAGTGTACTGCCATGAGAGGTTCGATGTCGGCGAAGGAGACAAGGCCAAGGTTGTAGCCGATGTCTTTGAGCAGCGGTAGCTTGTCCAGCAGCGAGCCGTACGGACTGAACGCCGCCAGCACGCTGTGCCATGCCGCGTGTGTCAACAGCACCAACAATGATACGACGAAATTCAGCACTAGGAACCTGCCCCGCCATCCTACAACGTTACATTTTGTATGTATTTTTATACAAACTTATATAACTACATAACACTAAGAGCTTCTTAACAATTCAAAACAAAAGAGTGAAGAATGAAATTACAAACAGTTTTTTTTATTGGAAAATAATTTTACAAAAGATTGGTAAAAAACAAAGCCAGTCGGTGGGAACGTCGAATATTTTGTATGAATATTATTTTCATTCATTTTCTTAACATCAAAACCACGCTTCATTAACGTCGAAAGACGTTCTCCTTAACCCAGGTTACGAATAGTAAACACTTAAAATGCAATTAACAATTTAATGCGTACCACAAGGCCCATACAATCATAAGAACTCAAGGCGAATATTTGAATATCGAGCTTTCTCTGATGTGGACGTAGACAAAATTCTTATTTCTTAAAATTATAAAACAGTCAGATTAACCTAAGTAGCTCGTTAAATTTATCATTTCTGCGATCTTCTGCACGTTTAAAGAAAACTTATAACATGGATTTCTTTAATAGAACGCACTTCTTCCTTAAAGATTACTAAAGAACCCTGTTATGGAATTCGAAGGCGAAGTGCTATTCGTTTGTATCCTTGTTCTTTTGAACAACTAATTTCATAAATCATGACGACTTACCGGAATATGTCTTGGTGTCGGGTACTTGTGCTAGCGGTGCTATTAAATACAGCAGCAAGTATATTAATGACAATCCAAACGGTCGCAGGGCAATGGCTGTAACAAAACAATGTACAAGATAATGTTTCTATTCAGTGTCTGTCACGTTAGTTATGATATATTGATAGGATGAATTTAGCATCATATCTTTGAACTACATTATTTTTATTTTATAAGGCTTTGTTTTAAATGTTTTTTCTTCGCATATTTAAAAAACCCTATTAAAACAATTATGTATTGGATGTTGAAGAGGAAAGCAGTGATAAGAAAAATATTATACGGTATAAACGTCCAAGTTCATAATAAGATATCACTTACTCTACTTTAGCTATAAAAACAGCGTAAGCATAAACATTCGTCTGATATTTTGTAGTCTAGTGTTATCGACTGGCCTATAAAGATTATCGGAGATGTGGCAAAAGGTCAAACGTATAAGTTATTTTAAGATTTCACTGTAAGGTGTTAACTAAAAAAATTCGGTAGACATACACGAGTTGAACAAGCCATATGTGCGATGACCATATCGAAGTTTATAGATCTTTTGCTAGATATACATATATACATTCCCCATAGACTATTGCAAAGTCCCGAGGCAAGGACTTGACATGTTATAACTGTAATAATAACGATTAAAATGTTCAAAAGCAACGATAACGAATCTAACTACTCGTCGTTTAAAAATAAAGCAAATACTTTTGAGTAACCATTTCAAATTTAAAGTGTATAAATAATAAAAAAGACTATGTATCAAATTATATATTTTATTTAAAAAAATGGTTATAAAACTACCAAGATAAATTAAATTAATAAGTATCGGGCGGGGTCGTCAGTCGATAGTGCATGTATTCCGAGCCGCGGACTCCTGTTTCGGTTGGCTGTCAGACCTTGACCGGCTTGAGTAAACGCACACGAATGTTGAAGATATGTTTAAACTGACACCGTGGTTGTATATTTGTCCAGTTCGTTAAAATAAATGTTAAATAGTTGTGGTGTTGAATATGCGGAATGCAGATTAATTATACTCACAAATATTTTAAGTTTTCACATTTTTCTGAAATCCTTATTGTTAATTGAATTATGACGATAATATATATTTTCCGATAAAACATATAAGTTGAGAAAGCCCGCCCCATAACGAGTGCATTTTCATTCCAACATAACCATGACAAGTCCCTAGATAGTACGGTTGGCAAAAGCGATAGCCATGTCATTGACTTCTGTTACAAACAACATTTAATGGTAGTTATAATAGTTAAATATTATTAACCTACGACAGTCTCTGGCGTCGTTTGAGTGAATTTTATTTAGAATCGATTATATTATTTATTCAATGCAGCCGCAACATTTCAGTGTTTTCTGTTTCATAAGAAACAAACATCAAATCACGGAAGCCAAGGCCGGTGTCGGCCTTTGAAGAATTATTTGAAACCGTGAATAATTATTGTGCACGATAGAATAAATATCGGATTATTCCTGTTTTTCAAATATTAATATACAGATAAATCAAGATTTAAAAATACTAATGGATAGAACATAACAAGAAACCGTTGATTTGGTCGTTGAAGGAATTATTATAAGCTGACGTATTCAAAAATAACGTCTCAAAGGAAATAAGATCATTCACTCAAATTGATGAGTTGAACAATATTTTTTCTTCCTTCAATAGTCACTATAACATGTTTCTGTAAGCTTTTTTTTTATAAAACACTTAAAAAGTTAATAGAATGCGTTATGGTATCATTTATCATAGACATCCGGCCAATTTAATTATAAATGGTAGGTATAAATGCAAATCAACACACATAACATATAACTATTTTTACAATCAGCCTTTTTTTTTTTGCAAAAAGGAATCAGATTTAGGATGTATGTATAAGATCCGCGTCTTTAAATAACAAATATTATATAGTTAAATCGTGTTTCTCTTGGTTTCCATTTATCTCCATATTATACAAGAAAAAGAAGAAAAGATTTTGAGGAACCAAAAAAGAAAATCTACTAAGTATAACGATAATATCCTTCGGGGTTCCAAATGTCAGTGTAACATTTCGCCATCGTGTAGTACCACCGCGGGAATTTGTTCTGCACCGTTTTACATTCGCCCCATTTCACGAACTTCCTAACTTCCAAAGTGATATTAAAAGAAATTGATAAACAACATAACTTTACCTTTGAAGTTCATTTTTAACGATTTCCCGCACTTTAATGCTAAAGAATTACGCATTGACACACTCGTCTTTATGACAACGATGCCATAAATTAATAAAAGTTGGTTATAATTAAGCCGAGGTTAGGTTACCTAATTGAATAACTCGAGTAGGCGTCTGCCAAATCTGAGACATTACATACAATTATGGAATAAAACATTCTCGCGTTTATTAGCGTCTTCGTAAAAGGCAGTAATACAGGTATAGGATATTTCAGAAGTGTCAAGTACATTCTCGGTAAAGTTCGTTTTATCAATGAGTCATTGTGTCTACAGTTAGGTAAACAGCCGTAAAAGATCAGTTAGTTATTTATTAATTCATTTCTTTCGTTGTATATTTTGTAAACAATTTTGTGCTCCTCTATTAGTTATTACACTCTACTGACATCTCTACCCACAGTCATTAAGACAGGAGATTTGAGAGAACTCTTGTAACAACAGACTTAATATAACTTAACTCCTTGATCTAACCAGAACTTGGTCATATACATTTAAAGTACACTACTAATTGTGTTATTTACATTCTAAACACCAAAGGAAAGAAACTGTTCAGGTAGAGCAAATGCAATTATATTCTTACCACATAACTATTTAAAGGCCTTTCTTATAAAAGCTATTTCATTAATTTTATAGGTGTTGTATTCGTTACTGCTAGACAATATAGCAATTTATTCAATTAATAGTATCAATTAACCCAGCTGACCCTTTGACGCTGCGGGCAAAGTACGAATCCTTACAATGGGAAATTGATCAAGCCGTACAGACTCCGTTGTCGCGACAATGAGATAGCCATACGTAAAACAATACAGTATCTAAATCTATAAAAGTTCGCATACTATTTTTCTTGATTCTGAAGATAATATTAGGAATGAAGTCGGCTAAAAGAGCTTAAAATCTAGTATTTGTTATATATAGCTTGGAGTATATTTTTTACTCACAATAAACGTCGTAACTCCTCTTGAACTGCGTGGGCGGTGCGTACATTAAAAATACATCTGACTGTCGATGCTCTCACAACTATCAGCTTGCACAACGTCGACAAATGTAAACGGGAAAACATCAATATTCAACATTCACTCATTTCCTTAGATTAAAGCAAGTGACGAATAGTGGTGCAAATGCTCCAAAACAGCGCAAAGAAATCTTTACAATAGACATTATAACATACATTTTTTATCACGTACAATGCATTTATCTTTCACTTATGTACACAGTTTGACTTAAGAATGTTGCAAGCGTGACCCGACTTTTATCAAACCATCCATCTTGTTAGTTAAAGCGCTTCACTATGAACCAGGAAGAAAAAACATAACAATGTGGTCACACAATAATGTCAGCTTTACATGTGAATTCAGAATAGATTGTACCTAATCAATTAATAGATATATTACAAGGCATAGACCTCGTAACAAACCTTTCTGTTGCCTCTTATAGAAATAAAAAAGTAAAAAGTAAAGAAAAGAAAGAAAAAGTAAAGAAAGTTTGACAATAATACTCCGAGTACCTCTAAACTTCGAATCCAATAAGAAAGTTTGTAGCTAGGTGCAACAAGAGCAATGGGACATAGGAACCGTTATAATGAACTGTTTCTAGCCATCAGATAGGAACGTGAAAGGGCTTCGCACAACCGGCTCTCTGAGGCTAAATTATGACCTATTTTTGCTCTATTATTACATTTTTAGGCACAAATATTTATTATTTAGTATTTGTCCTACTAAAATTAACATTACGGTATCTTACTAAATGTTTTTTAAAGTGTCAAGATCCACCAGACCTAATAAACTTCAGAGAAACTGTATTACGTATTTCACTGGCACTCAATCTATTGTTGACGATGTCATTTACTTACCAGAAATAACTGATGTATCTAAAAGCACTACTTTGTTACGTTCTCAGTCTCTTTATTTTTAAATCAGCATTAACAAGTAAATAATAAAATTTCAAGCTTCTTATTTATTTATGTGACGTTAGTGAAATTCACTTTTGACACGACCGTTGGCGCAGATATGCGTCGCGTCGCATCTAATTTATTTTAGCATTCAGAATCTAGAAATGCACAAATATATTTGTACGAATATTTTTCGTCACTGTCTTTTAATAATAAAAAAAAAGAAACTAGTCACTAAACATTTACTGCATGCATTTGTCGTTTAAGTTTCATACAAACATTTCAGAACTAAACAGGAAATATGTATACTTAAAGTATTAACAGGACGTAACTCATATACTAAAAATATAACAGTACAAAATATCAAGTAAAAGTTAAAAATATTTGGACTATGCAATTCCACAGTTCGTTCACTGGCACAGATTAAATTTAGATAGCTGATGCAATCGAAATATTCTTTTTAATTTACGTTTTTACGTCCTCTTTTTGTTCCTAGAGATTTGTTAATGTGTTTAGTGGCATTCGCAACGTATTCTGGGATTTTAGAGATCTAGTAATCATACTGTTATACTAAATATATAAATTTCAACTACGTCGTAATTCTAAAAACCAGATAAAGGGCACTTGATCTTCGTATCGTGGCTTTTCCATGTGTTATGTGTAACCACTCTAGCCGTGATAATATTAACACAGATGCTATAAACACTTCAACATGGTTATTTTGTTACTTCATTGCCGTAACACAAACAATGTAGTAAACAGTAAATGCCCTGATTATGATTTGATACGTGTTTTGAACACAGCGTTCCTTCGCAGAAAACTAACCACGTTCGTCTCCTTAAAAGGGGCGGTCACGGATACCGATGATTAAATGTACATAATAGTTTATTTTTACTCTTCTTATTAACACCTGACCTTTTTGCGAAATCCAAGTGAAAACCTGGAATTTTTTGACGCCTAGCT